ATGCTGCCCAGGATAGCAGCGCTGAGAACTGTTGCTATAGCACATGTCTGGGACCAGGAGAGGCAGGGGCAGGTGATGATAACTCAACTTCCTCCCGCCTGGGTCAGTCCTCAGCCACAGATCGCCCTGCCCGGAGGGCACAAGATCAGCGTGGCATGCACCTGGCAGTGCCATCTGGATGAAGAACCCTCCATCGCCTCTGTCTTCCTCCTTCCCACCCTCCCTCCTTCCTTCCTGGTGCCCCCTCTTCCGTGTGTAGCACCAACAACATCTGTCTCAGGCTCTGCTTTCTGGGAAGCGAAAAGAAGACACAGTCTTTGTTATTGCCTGTAGCCCTTGCTGCAATGGCCTGTCAGGCAAAAAGACTCCCCAAATGACACCTTTTAATACCGTTCCCACCTTATAGACCCTTGGCACTACTAGATTATTAGGAGGAGCAATCAGATATGCCCTCTCTGGTTAGGCTCCTTTAACTGGGGGTTTATGAAATCCTGAAACCCTAGCTGGTTATTTGTTAGCGTCACCGGGAAGGATGTGGGATGGGAGCTGCTGAGAGGTTAGGGGGTCTGAGAGATGTCCTCTCCGCTGTGGTTCGGCCTCGGACCCTCAGGCTTCCTTGCTGTCACTCAGCAGATCCATAGCCTGGGTCGGAGACGAGGGTGACTACAAGGCTGTGACTTTAACTCCTCGTGTCGCATCCTTAGATGGGCATTTACCATTTCCTAGTGGTGAAGTGGGGACAATAAAAAAAACAGGAAAATGCTTGGAGGAAAATGTCTGTGTTCTAATGAGCCGAGGAGTTTTCTTTTTTTAAAAAAAATATTTTTTATTGATTTCAGAGAGGAAGGGAGAGGAGGAGAGAGGGAATGAGAGATAGAAAGATCAATGATGAGAAAGAATCACTGATAGGCGGCCTCCTGCACAACCCACAATGAGGGATCAAGCCTACAACCTGGGCATGTGCCCTGACCTGGAATTGAACTGTGACCTCCTGGTTCATAGGTCGATGCTCACCCGCTGAGCTATGCCGTCTGTGCCAGAGGAGTTTTCTTATTTGTGATCCTGAGGATAAACTCGTGGCATTCGCTTCCTCACACAAGACCCTTGTCCTTTAAAGAGGCCCTGGGAATGGGGACAGGGAAGCTGTCTTGAGATGGTGGAAGAGGGCGTGCCCCAGTGTGACCCAGGAGGATGGGCACAGGGCTGGCTTGAGCAGTGGGCACTCTGGTTTCAGACAGCTGAAAAAGGCAGTGACTGCTATTCTTCTAGACCCTTCGGTAAGCACAGAAGAAGTGCTGGGTCTGGGGTGGGACAAGGTGTCACAGAGGGTCCCACATAGGATTGCTTTATAAATGTGAAGTCATTAGGGTTGGGTTAGGGCTGGAGTTGACCAGGAGAGGACCTGAATGAGAACATCAGTGTCAAGTACCACGACAAAAAGCAGACAACAAGAAACGTGGTGAGATTCTTCTGGAAGCAGAATTATGAGGAGACTCCCGCCTCTGGTTCTGCTGTGATGAAATTGGGGCTGATTTTTCACCTTCATCTGCCCCCCCCAACCACGGCTGTTCTCAGAGGTCATGGCAATGGCCTCTCTAGATCAGGCTGAAACATGGAGGCAAATCTGCTGATGCAAAGGTGTTGAATGCCACATGCAGCAGGCTCTTCTACATGTGTGCCTGGTACTCTAGGCATTTGGACAGTATGTGACACACACTCTCTTTAACCTGGTGATGGTGACTGCATGTTTGGTCAGAAGCTCCCTGCCTTCTGCATGCCCTAACGTACTATGTTGGATTGGTGTGTAACCTGGATGGTGATGGTGGTGGTGGTGGCCAGGATATCACTGGATCACTTCTGAAGTTCCTAGAAAAGAGCCCAACATCTAGAATCTCACATGGGTTTGCCCCTAAGACAGCCCATCATGCCCCTCCCCTCTTATTTATTAGTCCAGTTAGAATAGTGATATTCTCGAGGTGTGGCTACTTCTGTTCAGCAGGCAACACAGGTTCTCAGGATGCTGAGCTCATGATTGGTGCTAATGGATAAAGGAGGAGGGATCTTCCCTCACTTGGTCATGAGAGTGAGTGGGGAGAACAGGCAGCCTCCTCCCTCAGGGCACTAACTTCTCTGACCTCATGAAACAGGACATTTCCCTATGGACATTTGGGGAATGACAGCCCATCCATCCGTCTGTCCATCCATCCATCTATCCATCCATTTCAACATAGCCTAGCTATGGATCCCTACGTTATTTAAACTTCAATAAAAGATCTCACAGTCATTCTACAATTGATTCCTGTTCTATCAGGTTGACTCTGCTTTTTTCTATAAGTCAGATGCCTCAAACTCTCTGGGTGCTAATGAAATCAAATTGACCTTCACAGGGGATGCCCCCTGTCCCGTTACTTCCCACCTGCTGAGGGAGGCCCTCAGGGGGACATGGAAGATGGTCAGGCTCAGTTTTAAAGGGAAGACCTTGGAGCCAGCATCTCTGGGTCAGAGTTATGTCTCTGCCATTTCCCAGCTGCACGACCTTGATCAAATCCTCTCTGTGCCTTTAGGATGCAATCTGTAAAGTGAAGCTGACGAGGACAAGGATGGTGTGTACCTTGTCAGGAATATTGTCAGAATTCTAAGAGTCCGTGATGCCTGGGAGCCTGGAGGGTGCCTGGCCATGGCATGTGTATGTTGTGGCCAGTCCAATACCAGCCTGACTTACACTCTCCTCATTTACCGGGGAATTTCAGCCCCTTCGCCTGGTGATAGACAATCATGGGTGATGATCACTGAAAGGCCGGCAACAGAAAAGCTCTTGGACAATTACCTCACTGCTCTCAGCCTTGTCTTAAAAATGTCCCGACGTCTCAAAGAATTCTGAAAAAAGGTGCTTTCAATGACTAGTTCTTTTTTGTCAGGATCATTTTCGGATCCGAGACACCATCCCCCTATGACATGTATCAGCTGCATTTTGCCTCCATCAGATGAGACCTGACACAAAACCCTGTCTTAGGAATCCTGGAAAAAGGGCTCCTTTTTGTCCCCTGAGTGCACATCATTTGGTTTCTAAAAGGTGATCTTTTATGAAGAGAAGTATTCATGACATTTGAAAGGTGTCAATGTTTAAGGTAGTTAAATACCACAGTGGGGTTGAGTGTGCGCCTGTTTTGAATGTGTAAGCCATTTAATGCGACTTTATTCAGCTCTAGAACACTTATCCTTTTATTTCGTGGAATTTGATTTGTTTTAATGAGCCATCTCTGCATAATTCGGGGACGGGGAGGATCTGAACACCCAGACGATTGTTGGGTCTCCACCATGGTGATGAGATTTCCATCCAGTGCAATGAACTTACCACCTCCTCTGAGTGTGAAAGGGGAGCCATCAGAACAAACCCAGGCAAGAAGGAAGGAGCATTTTTTACTTGCAAATCCATCTTTCAGAAATGTGTGCTTTGGTTTAAAGGAAGAGGCTGAACATTACAGGTTTAGATAATGATGCCACCATATGGGGACCTCATTGGAGTGTGTTGAAGAATGAATGATGTTTGGCTGAGACCTGAACCTTCTCTCTCCATAGGAACATGGGAGAGAGCCAGCATTCTGAACATGTAAGGTGTTCTAAAACATGAAGAAGGGACCCACATGTATGTAAACTTTCCAACTTGTCACCTTTCCTTCCACTTCCGGCCAGAGAGAAGTGGTTTTTCCCCTCTCAGAGTAGTCCTACCACCTGATCTGGGTGGGCATTTGCACTTCACATTGACTGGTGTGGGGTGTGCATGTGCGTGTGGCAGACGTGGTAATAAACAGGAGACTTGAGGTTGCCTCTTTTGGGTTGTCATCTACAAAGACCATATGCATACAAAAGATGGTTAACTTCATTAACACGAGTGTTTATTATTCACCCCATTTATTTACACTAATCAGAACTCTAAAGCAGCATTTTCTCACTCAAGGTTGACTAAGGACCCAGGAATTTCTCATGACAACATGGAATACTAATGGAAACTGATTAATGGATTATTATTTTCTTGATATTATTTTTAGGCTGAAGTCGTGGACCAAAATATAAATTTTGAGGGCACCTTTATCCCTTAGCAGGAGTCACCCATATGGTTTTCTCCTTGCCCCTGCTCTGCCTCTCTCTCCAAGGTGCCAGGCAGATAGTTATGTAACAGTGACAATTCCTGCACCACATTGGACCTCTGGGCCAGAGAGTCCAGTCTCCAGTCTTGTCTGCAACCTTATGCAAGTCAGTCTTCCTATCTGGCTTCATTTTTTTTTCCCCACCTAAAAGTTAGAGACTTTACATCTCTTCAATCCTTTTCAACTTAAAGCATGTCTTCTGATAATTACCAGAAAATTTGATGGACAAAATACTTCTCTCTCCACAGCCTACAATTCTGATCATCATGTTATTTAAAAAGCAGTAGCTAAAGAAGCTATGAGGAAGCATGCTATGTATTTACATGTGTATTTCACTCAGCTCCCCGACCTCATACCTCATGCAAATCCAACCATGAAATATTCATACTTCTGGTCAACCTGGTAAAATAAAAATGTGCTGGGGAGCGGGGGAGGAGGCATAAACGATGACAGCAAAGTAACTCAACAATAGGAGAACAAATCATTATTAACCTGATATATCAGTTGACCAAATTTATTTAAATAAGACATTGAACACTGTGGTTGGAATGATGAAGGTGACAGCGCCGATATTCTCACAGACACTTGGCTGTTTCCCTCATATTTTCAATGAGGTTATGCTCCGTCAGCACAATCTCTCATCTACTGTCCCTCGATACGAACAAGGAGGCAGCCTGTGCCACTTCAGTAGATATTATACTTTCCTGGTCTCAGGCGCATCTGGTTTTAACCACCTGAGCCAAAGTAATGTAACACTTGATATAATGAAAGAGATACTTGAAACGATAAGAGAGACAACATAATTTTGAATATATTTGATAACGATTTCTTTTCTTTTCTTTATACCTTTAGAGACAAGGAGCTGGCGCAACCAATGGAAAAGACAAGACGTCTGGCGAAAACGGTAAGACCACACGAGTAGTCCCACTACCTGCTGTTTTCCCACCTGCAGCTGTGGGCACACGTGGCAGAAATCAGCTCCCTCTGCATGTCTGCGCTTTGGTGCAGAGTGGATTTTAGCGATTCTCAGTAGCAACACGGTCTGGTTTTACAGAGGAAGCCGAGGTAGCTAAATGCAGTGGTAAGAACAGCTCCCTCCTCGAAGGAGGACTCCCATTTTGGGCAACAGGATAATTACAAGGCAAATAGAGTTCTCTGCTTGCTTCATTAGGGCTGGTGAGAACCACCCCAGTTGTTGTGAGGATAAAATAAGATCAAATGAGATAAGTGCTTTGAAAACTGTGAAGTGCTTGACTTCTTAAAGGATGTTTTCAAATCTGCACGGGGCTGGCCCCGGGGAAGGGGCGGGAGCTGTGCGTATCCCTGCGGTCGCTCATAGAAACTAAAAGGGTGTAGTGGAGACCGGACTATTTGTGTGTTGGGACTCCAGCCTCCACAGGGGCCTTCCATTGTAGGAAGGATCATATTTTATGGATGGGGAACTAAGGCTTGGCGTGGAGGAGCTGGGATGTGACCAGGAACAGGAAGAACATGGCCTTGGAAGGCAAAAGTCAGTAACAACCCCAAGACATCTGGAAGTGAACGAAAGACGTTTGTCTAAAAATCCAAGTTTCTTCATTTCCTTATTCTTCAGTTCATAATGCGAGAAGATCATCTTGGAATTTCTGAGCCAACCTAATAATGCATTCCACTGAAAATCAGATTATTTCATCCTGTTATCACAGGTACCCCGAGAGCTCTTTTATCTTAATGTATATTTTCTCCTAACACCAATGAAGCTGCCTACCTGTGTTGAAGGAGCAGGCACCCAGGAGAATAGAACTGTGAAGCGCGGAGCATTAAAACGTTATGAGATTTGGATAGCAGTCAGATGATCGTAAGTAGTCGATTAGTCCCAGACTTCATTAGTCATCGACAAGGCAGCGTGTTCTTGTCTCAAATACCACGCACGTGGTTTAGGTCTCCAGTTAACACTGAAAGCATGCGTTATGGGCGCCCTGGAGATTGCAATTTGGGTCGCAAAAGACACACGTCAGAGCCATTACCACTCCAGAGGGACCTCCTGGGCTCTGCTGGCATTTCGTTATATTAAATATTATCTCGAGAGGGACATTGGCTGGGAATCTAGACCCTTGTTGTTGTTGCCATGGTAGTTATTGATGTGAAATATGACGTTTACCCACCCCATTCCCAGAATGCCTTTTCACTTCCCCACCTCTGAATACATGACCCAGCAAGCTCAGATGTTCTTCATAGTCTTTGTGGTGTGGAGACAGGTTTTTCAGAAATACAGAGCATCCTCCCCCCCCCCCCCCCCCCAAAAAAAAAAATGCATACACGCTTTGAAGAATTATTCATTCCAACGGGTTCACTCTGTAAAGAAAGAAACATTGGTTGAGCTGGCAGCTGTTAAGTGTGCATACATTTTTGGGGGGGACACCCTATATAGGCTTATTATTATTTTTGTAATTAAAAAATGAATTCATTAGGATCTTGGTGGCTCAGAGATTTTCATTCCCCTATGAACAAAGCACCTTCATTATCTGATTAGGCCAAGAATTTCATTTTTTTCTTGACATAATGCCCTACTTGAGCGAAACGAGTGTTCGGAGCTCCGGTTGCAATTCCTCTCCTGCGGTGAGTCCTTAGGCACAGACAGACACAGCCTTCTAACTCTCGATTCTGCGTCGCCCACGTTCAGCTTGGGGACGGTCAGAAGACTTTTTTCGCCTCACAGCAACGTTGCTGGGTATCTGGATCCCTATCTTGAACTTGGGCATCCAGTGAGACTCGAAGAGTTAAAATTTTTATTGACACAGAGAAGTAGAAAAACACGGGAGGGAAGTGGCTGCTGGGAGGACTCCAATCCCCGGGAAAGATTTATGAATAATAAGCCTCTGACGGGCTTGCTCTCAGAGCTGGGAGGCTTACCCCAGCGAAATTGGATTTCTAAATCGGGAATGGATTTCTCCTGACTTGGTGAGCGGCGGTACATTTGTTTCCAAAAGGCTCTGTCTTTGGAGGTGAAAGGCAGAGCGGTGCCTCATTTTAGCCAAAGAATCTCCTCCGATCCCACTGCCGGAAAATGCCTGAGGCAGTTATTATTCTGAGCAAAGAACGGTGGGGCCAAGGACAGTGGCATTATGTTGAATTAAGTGTGCCCATGTTTTTGGGACACAGATTTTGGCTTGCGAAATTTCTAGTAGGTGTGGGGAGCTGCTTGGAGCACATAGATTTAGTTTGCTTTCATATCGTGACATGCTGGCTAACAATGAATAACCTGAGATGTTGTTTTGGATAAAACCCAAACCATAGCAGTCTGTCTCAGATTTAGATTTGAGGACACACACACACACACACACACACACTATAAATGTATTTTTCTGCTGTCAAGTCAGTGGAGAGATTAATTGAGCAGGACCTGATTCATAGACAGATAGATACATTATTATTAATCTGAGCATGGCTTTTCCAATAAGAAATAAAACTCAATATTCCCCAAGCGCTGCACACATGCCCTCCTTGGCTCCAGATCAGCCCGTAGATGCTAAAAATCTCCCCTTCGGCGTCCTTGGTGCCTGATGGACCGACCTATCGGTGCCAATGACCTGACCTGGGCAGATGCTGCTTGGGATCCACTGGCCCTCTCACTGCTCTGTGGTTTGGGGAAGGGCGTGGGTGAGGTTGCACGTGGGAGGTGAGAGATCAGCTTGGCGCCAGGAGGAATCCCCGGTGACTGAGCGCTCAGTGCTGGGCCCGAAAGAGAAGGTCACTCTGGCAGGGCTGGGCCTGGCTGTCCTACTTCTGAGCCTGGAAGGTGGGGATGGATGGCAAGGGGAGGAAATGCGATTTCTAAAGAGGCTTCAGCGGGCTTGTGCCCGGCGTCTGTCTAAAGCGGTGACATGACTTGGTCCTGCTGCAGAGGGGGCCGGTGACAGAGAGGAGCCCTCCGCCTGCAGCAGAGAGTCCCGGCGTTTCCAGGCTGCCTGTGTGGCGTCGGGGAGCAGGGGTTTGCATGGCGACCTAAGGTGCCAGTTCTGCGCGAGCCGCAGTGGGAGTGTAGGTGGGAGCTCTTTGTCCTGAGCTAAGCCTCTTGGAAAAGGGAAAAGGCAGCTGGGAATGTTGAGAGGCAGCGTGGATCAGACACGTGCAGTTTAAAATCTTCACGGACTGGCCTGGCTGGCGTAGCTCAGTGGTTGGATCAGGAGGTTGTGGGTCCATCCCTGGTCGGTGCATATGCCCAGGTTGTGGGCTTGATTCCCAGTGTGGGGAGTGCAGGAGGCGGCTGATCCATGATTCTCTCTCATCTTTGATGTTTCTGCCTTTCTCTCCCTCTCCCTTCTTCTCTGAAATCAATAAATATATATTTAAAAGACAAAGAAAATCTGGGCGCCCTGGAGATTGCAATTTGGGTCGCAAAAGACACACGTCAGAGCCATTACCACTCCAGAGGGACCTCCTGGATGAGAGAGCATCTGGCTGTGGGAATGGCCTCCCTGAAGGACGGATCTGTAAGATGGGCTGCCATTCCCAGGCCAGGAGCTCTCATCTCCCCCACTGCTGTCATACAGCCGCGAGGCCAGGGCCTCCCGCCGTGCGGAACCCTGCGCGCTGCCTGAGCACAGCAGACCCACGGTGCTTTCGAGGCGAAAAGTCAAAGGACTCTGGTCTCCATCTGGGTCTCTTGGCCCTTTTTCCCCCTCATTTTTTACCCCCCGTATTTGAAGCAACCAGAAAAAAATAAAAACAGCAGTGGATGAAACACATATTACAGTGGGCCATGTCCTTTGGGCTGCTGGCTGGGAACACTCTAAGGATATACACTGAGTGGCCAGATTAGGATGATCTCTGAATGCATAATAATCTGGACACTCAGTGGATATCCTATATAATAAAAGGCTAATATGCAAATTGTCCCCTTGACCAGGAGTTCGACCAGCAGGCAGGCCGACCAACCACCCATGTACCCTCCCCCTGGCCAGGCTGGCTGGACCCCACCCATGCACGAATTTATGCACTGGGCCTCTAATACACACACACACACACACACACACACACACACACACACACACACTGAGTGGCCAGATTATTATGCGTTCAGAGATCATCATAATCTGGCCACTCAGTGTATATTCTAGGAGGAAGACTCGATACACAGGTGGCTTTGATATCGACCCAGATGGGGAAAGAATGCGATAGCAATTGCTCATGAAAGCCAGACCTTCACGCATCGGGGTCTCCACGCCAACCCGGTCAGTGGGAACCCTGTCCGGGAGGAGTATGTGTGGCGGTTATTTCGGGAATGGGCGCTGACGGGGGCTGTATTGCCATCAACGTCCACTGGGACAGCAGGTTCCTTTCCTGCCTTTGTCACCTCCGTGTGCAGGCACTACCTGGGTAAACGCGGTGCTTGTCACCCTCCGAACACGCGTGAAGCCCGTCAGTGGGGGTGGAGATGTGTGCCTGCGCCTGTCACCATCCTCTGCACCCGCACACAGTGCCTCAGTGAAAACGCTCTTACACAACCTTCTGGTCCCACTGCAGACTTGGCGCGTGGGTAGGAGGCCGTGCCAGGCAGCACTTCCTCAGGAAGCCAGGTGATTTTCCAAGGTCGCCCCACCACCGGAGGAGGAGAGCTTTGGCTCGCTGGCCTTGGGGCCAATCACAGTGGCCTGCCTTCACTTACCCTCTCCCTGAGCGCCCTCTGCCCTGGGGGTCCTGGTTGTAAACTGGCAGCTAGGCTGGCTGTGGTCGGAGCCCCTGGAACGGAACTGGTAACAGACTTACGTCTTGGCCACACTGACAATGTAGTCTCAACAGCACCACTATCTCCGCAACCTCGTTAACCCATTGCGGACCAGCAGTTTCATTACTGGCTTTACCCAGTGGCCAGGTAAGTCTCTATTGAACGAGTACAAAAAACATTTTACATAACTGTTAAAG